ATGACAGAAATATTGTCGTTTTACCCCAAACAGACATGGTAGATTCTTAAGTCTGACCCAAACTATACACTATCAATATTATGGACAAATTCAACACTGACGTGCGCATCTACTAAACTCATCACATGCGAGTAGGGTATCGCACCCGTTCTATACCGTCCCCCATCAACCATATGAAATTCGATTGCTACAAAGATGGTTAATAGAGTCACCCGGGTATATTAATGAACACTAACAACTCGACAATACACATAATGTGTGAGGAAGAAAAGAGCTCAGCCAATGAACAATTGAGTTTACGCTGTCCTTTTGCAGAATCGTCATGTACTATAAAATTCGTAGTAGAAATTATGCATATCGCTCTGCAAAGTCACACACCTTGAAACTCAGCACACGCCGAACTATATTTGGCATTTTGCGTTGTGTAATCAAATATCTCGCGGATTTCTCAACCAGCTGTGTGTGTGATCAGTTCGGGTTGGACACAGATTCACACAGTGTCATTGATTTTACATTGCATGGGCGAGACAATTACTGTCATGTTGTATAAAAATTGACATCTATCTAGATCAAACACCATAACATCACGTGATGCTGACAGAAAGGCCTCTCCTCTCTTTCCATTCATACGAGCGATAACCTCGTAGAAATCCATACGAACCAGCTCTATATCGAGACTACTCCAATATGCAACGGAATCGAGGTTACTATCATGCTGTGTAACAGCTGATCAATCACAAATCCTCGGCATGTGGAGCTCCATCATCATGGTGGAAGTTCCATCGTCGTTCCTATATGTGAACTTCCTTCTAATCGGAAGATAAAGCTATCAAGTTGATAACTGAGAAGATATGGTTGATAGTATCAACCATTTTCTCCACTGACAATGGAACGCAGGAAGTTCCTGCCAAGAACATATGATCGAGGATGACAAAAATGGTCCAGTTCCTTACGAAGTTCAACCGAGCCTTGACCGTCTCCGGGGAGATGGAGCATACCCCCGTGCCACTGTTATTCCGATGGGTCGCGAAGAAATATCTGAACACTGCCCCGGAGGCTGGTGGTGGAGCCCACCACCAACACTGTTTACCCAAGGAAAGTCTTCTTGTTCGTCTTAGTAAGAACTTCTCACTAAGGGAAACAATAACTTTTCAGTAGTCCTGGCTCACTTATTTGTACACGAATTCTTGAATACCCTTGTAGCGTCTTCTTGATCGAACCAAGCACCACTGGTGAATAACCCAACACTGGCATCGGCGCTAGATGATGAGTTAGTCATCAGAAGATGTTTACAACACGCTATGGAGGTTCAAACATATCCTGATGCTACCGAAAGAAAAGACCCCAGAAGTCTCCCTCAATCCGTAGTCCTTCTGCTTCAACCATATCGATCAACTCGCGTACTTCACGTTAAACGCTATCAATGAACAGGATTCCGCACAACCTTGTGGCGGTATTAACCTGCCACAAACCGTACACGGATAGACCAACTATAAGAACATGGAGAAGTCAAGACAGACACGATCACCGTTGGAGGCGGCTGCCTAGATCGTCGTAGTGGTACCTCCGTACGCCACACCCTACTTGAAAGGGCCTAACACATTTGCGGCCGTGCTTACCCTCAGTACGACCAATATTGGCAGCTTAACTTTATCCATAGTTGGCGTGTCGCGCCCTGCGTGACCCACGCAGGTATTATTGACTATTACACTGTAATGGGATCTTGCACAGTCTTTGTACTCGCGTGCTATATTCAACGGTGTAATACAATCCGGCAATCGCAAGTTTTTGCTAATATTGCGAATTTGCCAAATGCTATAATTTCTGTCTTTTTTTTGCTTTTTTGTATGTGCTGCTTTCTCAGTCACAAACCGCCCGTTCAATAGACCGATTTCGAATTTGAGAAGCGTTTCTAGAAACGATTCTGGGATTTTCTGTTCATAGAACCAGCTCCGGAAACGATCCCAGAAACGTTTCCAGAAGTGGTTCTCAGCGCGTTCAAAAGAGCTTGTGCGCGCTTCTGAGAGCGTTTCCAGAATCGCAGATTCCAGAACCACTCGGAGTGGTTCTGAAAATTTCGTGGCGCGTGACAGAAGCTTCATAGAGAAGAGCACCGAGAAGGGAAACGTGTGGAGTCCAGAAGAAACAACTCTCCTTGGAGAATTGCCAGTTACGAACTGGCTATGAGGGGCGATACAGCAAGAAAAGAGGTCATACTCAGCAGGGATATGACGTTTGTCGCCAAACAGACTCGAGAGGGTTTGCGAGTTGGGCCCCAACTGTTGAGCTAGTAACCGGGAGGTCGGAGGTTCGATCCCGGGACATGTGAAAATATATCGGGTCTGGACCCTAGAATGGACCACCTCCAATCCTCTAGAGCAACTCTAGAGGACCGCACTACTGAGGTTGGGCAACCAGGTACCACTTACTAACGGGTCAGTAGGTAAACAGCCTACTGACAAGTACTGGTACTCGTTCATAGGTAGACCGCTCAACAGTAAATACTAGTTACTAACTGCT